AATTAGGTTGGTCTGGGTGCAAAGGAAGCACCCAGGAAGCAGTGGGGAGTCTGGGTCAAGAGCTCTGGGGAGCCAAGAGAAGAAACGGGCCAGTGCCGATGCTAGGAGGAGAGACAGGGTTGGGGACAACAGTGGCTGCTTTTAACAGTTCCTTCTGCAACCACACCACATTGTTTTGAATATCACTGGAAAATGGTCTTTTAATGGCAGATTTGACTCATTTCATTAGGCAGTATCATAATGCATACTGAAAAGCTCCAACATTGCAACAAATATTCAAGAAAACCAATTTATAAAGAGGAAAAAAGCATCTAGGCTCATCTTTCAGAGGTTTCAGCCCAAGGTCAGATCATTCCTTTGCTTTTGGGCCAGTGGTGAGGCAGACCTTCATGATATTAAGTGTGCAGGGAACAAAGCCACTCACCTCATAGTGGCTGGCAAGCAAACAGGAAGGGGGCAAGGTCCCAATATCCCTCTGGGGCACAGTCCCAATGAGCTAACTTCCTTCTGCTAGGTTCCACCCTTTACACCTTCCACCACCCAGAAGAGGCAACACATGCTAGATTACACATGCAACCCACAGTCTTTGACAGACATTCAAGACCCAAATGATAGCAGTGCTCCCCTGACCCCATACTTTATGTCCAGCTGAGAATGTCTATTGCATTCAGTCCATCCCTAAGAGTTCGTCCTAATGCATTGCCAAAGCAGTGCATATGCAAATTTCAGTAGCTGTATACAAAATGTATTTTATAGTTTGTTTTTCTTTTCTTTTAAGCCAAGATTCAATCAAGATTTATAAATTGCTTTTAGATGCTTCTTTAAATGTCCTTAGGGATGTAGAGATGTGTTTCTATGTGTGTAACAGCATTCTAGCATGGTGTGTAACATCATAACTATACCAAATGGAACAAAGTGAACTTTAGTGAGTGCTAAGGGTGCTCCTGCAGTGCAAGGGATGCAACTTGGACATGGGAGGAGATGGATCGGGCATCAGCAAGGCTGAATACATTAGCATAACCAACATTTTTCCATTTTATGTTATGACACACACAGAAAACCAGACTTCCATAGCATGATAAGGTAAACAGAAGAGGGATCCTTGGGATTTGAGGTGACCTCCCTGGAGCTCCCAGTGCTTCAAGACCATATTCCAAGAGCTGGGGGACCTGCATTTGTGTTATGACTGGGAAATGCTGAGAAGACTGTGACAACTCAGTGTTTTCCAAGTTTCTTATCTCCAGAGCCTGCTGCTTTAGGTAACCTAGTACATGTCTTCCCAGATTCTAGACAATAGTCTTGCTGTTACGTCCATTAACTACAAATACCCACAACCAGGTACAACGAAGACAAAGGCAGTCTTTTTTTTCCATGTTATTTATTCTTAGTTAACTAGCTACATGGGGAACGGGCAAACAAATTAATAGGAATTCAGGAGGGGAAGTCATGTAAGTTTGGGTAGAAGTGTAGGATTTAGATTTCACAAGTGGTTAAATGGAAGATTTGTAAGTAGACATTTTTTTAAAGCATATCTTCTGAGGGTAACAGAGGAAGACAAAAGAAAAAAAAAAAAAACATCATAAAGGAAATAAATGAGTCACTTCTGATCACTGCATTCCCTAAAACCAAAGTCTTCAAAAATGACTGTCAGGATTTTCAGAAACTGATATGACATGTAGATTTCCAACACAGAAACAGAAACACACTGAGTAACAGATTAATACAATACAGATAATTGAGCACATGAAAATAGCTTTAATCTGCTAGCAAAAATAGATTTATGCTGATGTCAATATCAAAATTAAAGACATTCAAATAAATTATGCCAAAACATAATTATTATTCCTAATATCATAAGAACAAGCCCTATTTCTTCTATTCATCACTAAAAGGTCTGAGGAAATTCTACAATAGCTATAAGCTATCATATAACAATGTGTGCAGTGAGCCTACTTTCAAAAGCAAAGCAACACTTATTTTTCTTTTTGACTTGACATCTTTAAGGGTAGAACAAAACATCTCATCATAAATCTTGCAAATACAAATGAAAGACAGGTCTAGAAGCCTGAGCAAATGATTTATTGGAAGTAATTAAAACTAGAATATGAGAAAGCAGCAGACTAAATAATAAAAAAATTAGTTTGTATAGTTTTCTTCCTGAGAGAGTCCCCAGGATGCCCAGCAAGACCGGGGATCTCAGAGGTTCTCTTGTTACCTAGAAGGTAACTTACTGTTGTCCTAAAATAAATCCCCATTTGTTTAATCCAAGAACCCTTCTGAGTCTGAACTAAACTTCCTGTTTAATTAGTACCAGATTCCCCCTAGTGTCTGGGAGGTTAACTACATCGGAGTAATTAGTATCAGAACCATCTTAGCATCAGGGAGATGAACTGCAGGAAAAAGCTGTGTTAAGTCTTTTATTACCACCCCTGAGGCAGGGAAATACCAGCCTTAGGGTGCTCCAGGACCAGTGAAGGAAACAAATCTCATCCTCCTGTACTGGAAATGCTTGTTTCTGATGATGCCCAATCCTGATGATGCTTGATCCTGATGATGCCTGTTCCCGAATGATGCCCTGCAGCTTGGAGCAGTCAACAGTGACAAAGGGATCATCCCAAGTGCAGTGGGCAGTCTGCACAGGTTCCCCTTGCCAAGAGTACGTATGTGATTAGGAATGAAAAAAGCTAAAACATGCATATTAAATAATACAGTGATTGACATTATTTGTTTGAGAAATTCAGAGTACAGAACATTAAATTTTACTTTAATTCTTTTCAAACAATGCCATTACTTGTGTTTTCTTTGTTTTAAAAATCTAGAAGGCTTAGACATACAAATTTGGTGAAAAGCTGATTTTGAAAGACAGGATGAAAAGAGGAAGCCACTTCTGTTCTAAGGTTGTTTTAAGATTCAGATGTCAGGCTATTCTGCCAAACTGCTTACATTTCAGGAAAGCCCTTTGCAGAGATGCTGGTAGTGATTACTAGATTTTTAAAATATGCATACAGATCTGGAGCATATTTTAATCATTCATGGCCTCATTCAAATAAGGTAGGTGATATTTGGGCCAGCTGTTCTTGTGATTCCAAAATAAAGCTTGAAATCAATAGAAAATGGCATGAGGCAATTAAAGGATTTCCAGCCACTGCACCACCAAGCTGTACTCGTTCAGGCGGTACATTGTGTTTTTGTTATTTTTTCTCCTCTGGGACAGTCTCTGGAGAAGGCCTATTTAATAGACAATATTGCTAAAATTCTACATTTATCCTCACATTGTATTAACTAGATTTGTGTTCCCCATGAGAACCCTTAACTGCTTCCTCGAGTCTGAGCAGAATTTGGATGAATGCTTGAAAGGGAAGAACAAAGCAGGAGCTAAGAACTGGACAGTGCCATGTGACTGCTTCGAAATGGAACTGGTATTCACAGTGTGTTCATGTTGACATTTCCATAAAATGGAATAAATAAGCCCGAGATTTAATGAGTTGTTTTAAAAGGCCAGTCACTTGTAGACTCCAGAAGGCTACTGATCCACCTGAAAGCAATGCTGTCCAGTTGGTTATTTGGTGCAACACTGAAAACTCAGGTATCTTTGTATCTCTTTCTTGTTATACACATTACCTTGTTCACAGTGTTACATGTGCTCTGGAATAATTCTTCCTCCTCCCCCCCCCTCCTCCTCCTTCTTTTCAAATGTGTGTGCATATATAGGCACACGTGTCAAGGCGTGTGTGGAGGTCAGAGGACAACTTTTTGGAGTTGGTTCTCTCCTTCTATCTTTTATTTGGGATCTGAGGACTTAACTCAGGTCACCAGGTTTGTGCAGCAAATGCCTTTACCAGCTGAGCCATCTTTCTGGCCCTTTCAACTCTTTAAATACCTAAAAATGCTTTCTAGAGATATGTCTTTACCCTGTCATTACCCTTGAAGTTTCACAGAATTGATATGGACATTTGAGTCAAAGGCTTTACAATCAGGCTTTGGTTTTAATGTAATCTGAGCAGAAGTTGGAATTGCTTTGATAACACAATTCAGCTACTGCATACATTCTATTATCATAACTTGAAGTAACACATTTAAGAGAACATTTCCCCTTTCAGTAATTACTTTTTGAGACTGATGAAGAACTCACAGAGTGTAATAAACAAGAAGAAAGTAGAGGAAAGAGGAAAGACCCTTGCAGCTTTCTCAGAAGACAATACAAAAGAAAAACACCAATGCTCTACATTTGTCTATAAGGCAGATGGTCAAACTGTTTATACGAGATAAAAAAAACATGGTGCTTAGCAAGAGGTAGAAAATACCAAAACAGCATGTAAGAACACGTCGAGTTAGTTAAAACAACCAGTTACTTTGCTAAAGTTTTGGAAGTCAAAAGTGGAGTGTTCTATATGTTTTGTACGTAATGAGGACATCCCATCGTCAATAGATGGTGCTAAAAGGAGGTCATGCAAGCTAGGGATGGGCAGGAAGCAGTTTCTTAATTTGTCAAGGAGTCTGCTCTCACTAGGAAAAACAAATTCCTGCTGCCTCCTTGGGATACCATTAGGACATTGAATTAATGGGGATTTCTCTGATTAATGCAATTTCTCTGAGGGGGCAATTTTGCATATAAGGCAACAGAGCTGTAGGGAGGGACAGGCACAAAGGCTTCCCCTTCAAGAGGGGCGATGTCCACCTTACAGAAAAAATAAAAAGATACATTCTAATAACCTCATACCATCTCCTTAACCACTAAAATGCAAGTGAAAATATTGTTGGGACTCCAGCACCAGCAGAATTGCTCTGTATGAGCAATTCAAGAGCTGTCTGAGGCAAAAAGATATTCCAGCCACCAATGAAACTTGGGGAGCTAACTCATGGGTAAGTAACCCTGGGTGTTCTTATTTCTTAATGCACCTGGGAGATTTTTTCTCCAATGTGATTTTATAAGGCATACATTTGAATTTTTCCCCTTACCTTTGGAAAATTAGTGTTAAAGCTTCTTTTTCAACCCACACATTAACATTCAATCTTTCATTTTTATTAAATAGTTTATATATAAAAAGAAATACCAAGGTGTTCTACATTCATACAAATGATAATGATAATACTTGAAATTGTAAAGAAACCTACTGAAGAAAATATATACTCCAATACTTACAATGCTAAGCTAAGCACAAGTGATCATTCTAGATAACATCTTTTAAGTCTACACACACAGGTTTGTGCTGCTTTAGGAAGCAAAAGTGGGAGAAGAACACTGACACATCTTTCTTCTTTTCTTCTTCACCACAAGATGGGATGGTCCAGTTTGGAAAAACCAAGGTCTTTTCTAAGTTCCAAGTAGGTGCCATTGCTCACCCAAGAGTCATCATTGGATTTCCTGTGAAAGATGAAACAATTTCTTGCAGACTCTTGATACGATCCCTCTTCCCCCCCCTTCTCCTCCCCTTCCCCATCCTCATTCTCTGATTCATTCAACATCCTGGATGCTCAAGTACCAGAGCTGCAATGCAGCTGGAAGCTGTTTCATTACTTCTGATATTAACTTCTCAAACCCAGAGGCTGGGAAGGTGATGTTCCTGAGAGAACACATCCAGTGTGCATACTGTACATAAAACAGCGGGGGGGGGGGTTTAAGAAATGACTCTGTGGTTAAGAGCACTGGCTGCTCTTACAGAGGGCCTGGTTCAATTCCCAACAACACGGCAGCTAACAACCATTTGTAACTCCAGTTCCAGGGGATCTCCAATGCCCTCTTCTGCCTCTTTGGGCATTACACGACACAGGTGCACTTACATACATGCAGGCAAAACACTCATACGTGTAAAATTTAAGTAAATAACTTAAAAAAGAAAAACAGGGCTGGGGTGACAGCTACCATCTGGGAATGACTAGAAGCTACATGTCAACCAGGTTGATCAAAGGAAGTGTTAAGTTGACATAAAACAAAACAGAACAAAAAAAGGGAATTGGGAATGGTCACAGTCTGTAGAGAATAGTTTTGGTTTATCTCTCTCTGAACAGATAATGTGTTAAAGAGACCAAAATCCAAAAGGCATAGAAGGATATACAGCCTAACGTTTTCTTGCTAGCCCTGTCTCCCAGCTTCACAGCTTTCCTCCTGAAGGAAGAGACATTATCAACTTCATTCTGTTAGAGAATGTGTGTGTGTGTGTGTGTGTGTGTGTGTGTGTGTGTGTGTACACTGCCACCACTGTCTCTCCTTTTCACACAATGGTGGTACTTGTCAGTGTTCTACCCTTTGACCCTCTGAACATTAGGCAAATATATATATTTGTGAGTATTCTACCACTGAGACACATACCTAGCCCTGCATATCTCTGAAATACTATTTTATTGGAACATGACTATGACCATTTCTTTAACTACTGACTACACTATGGTTGCTTTGATGTTGACCAGCTGGGCTGAGTAATTGCTGAGACCTTATGGCCTGCAATAGAGGGTTTCCTCATTCCTTTTTAAATGTTGAGTGATATTTCGCTGTATGGATAGATGACAGTTTATTTTAGAGGTGCCCTATGATGGACAGTAAAGTTGCTCTCAACTCCACTGTAAATAAAGCAGATGTTAATTTGGTATGTATGCAAACTACACTGAAAATTCCTGATGCAGTGTGTAGCCCAGAACACATGCGTTAGTAATCTTTACCAATATTGGTTCTGAGCACTTTGCAGCAAAAGTGAAGAATTTGTTTTCCCACAATCTCAGGAACATATCTTTTTAAAAAAAAAAAAAAATCAACATTGTGTTACTTAGGGTTAAGTGTCTCACAGACACTTATTCTCTGCATTTGACCAGTTTTGAAATTCTGTAATAGTCTCCATCTATTGCAAAAAGAAGCTTCTTTTATGAGAGGTAAAAGATACCCTTGTCTGTAAATGAAGATGGAATAAAGTAAGAAATTATGCTGGTCTAAGGATGTGGCAAAAGTAGGTTTTTCTTTAGGACTGATGACCTCTCTAGCCACTTCTATTTGGCTATATTTACAGAACCTCACATGAGTTTCCTCCCATTGACTGGGCCTTAATTCCAATTAGTCAGGTTTGATTAACCCCAGGATAAAAGTGCCACTACTGTACCAATAACGATAGTTTGCTGGGCCACTCATTGTTTATTAGACTTTACAGTTGGGTAGGACCATTGATGGGTTTTCTCCCTTGGCAGCTTGTATAGTATCCTCTGATACCATGAGAGCTGGTCTTCAGAGAGAGGAGGCTTCCAGCTCTGTTTCTTCTTGATTTCTCCAAGTCCTGTGTCCAAAGTATGGCCTGTCTTCAGCAGGAGGGTCTTATCTTCAAGTTCTGGGAGATAATCAAGGGCTGTGGCAATATCCTGTGTTATTTTGGGAGTCTTTTGGGCTACCCTGGCCAACAACTGGAAGGGAGGTTTTCTTTTTAAAAAAAAAATAATTTATTGAGAATTTCATACATGCATATAAGGTGTTTTGATCAAATCCACGCCCACTCCTTCCCCTCCACCTCCTCCCATATCTCCCCATCACTTTTTTCTGATAACTTCATGTACTCCTTCTTCTTTGATTTATTCTCTTTTTAAATGGGGATTTTGGCTACTCTAACATTCCTTCCTCTGAAGAGGTAACCCTAATACCTTTTAAGGATTAGATAAAAGCTCCCAAATATTTTTGACATTTTTGGCCTTTGGAATGGAGTAGGTTGCTAAGAGGCCCAAGGACATTGTGAGTCTTAGCCAAGAAACTGGCTACTTTTCTTTGGGGTCTTTTTACCCTAACTGCCTAGACAATTCCTACCTCCTATTCTTACCACACCATCCTCTGAAGGGGTTACCCAGATTGCCGATAGGAATCAGGATGCAGACCGCTCTGGCTTTGGAAGGGAGGTTTTCTGTTCTGTAGCCTTCAGCTATGCACATGCACTACTGTATTTATCATATGTGTTTTTTTTTCAGTAGGACTTTGAACTAATACATTTCCTTCTTGTTTTTCATAACATCTAAGCATTATTTACCTCTCCTTTCACTCCCCTGTATAACCTTTACACTTAAAATGAGTGCATCTCTTAACTCTCACCAAAGACGTTTCCTTATGCAGCAGATAGTGATTGACACAGAAACCCATAAGTAGCCAATGTGCAGAGAACAAGAGGCCCCAGAGTACTTATCCCTAAGTAGAACAGCTATCTCCAACCCCTACCCATCATTACTGTGAAAGAGGAGGTGAAAGATTCTAAGAGCCAGAGAGGGGGAGGACGACCACAAGGAAACAGAGTCTTCCACACAGCTGGTCATTTACTCATATGAACTCACAAGACTGGTGACTGACAGCATGAAGTGGTCCTGTGCAAGCTCAGAACAGGCAAAAATCCCAGCATAGACATGGGGAGGTGGTAAGAAATCCCAACACAACCCAAGGAACTTTTGGCAATTGATGGCTGCTGGGATGGGGAAAGACAGTGTCTTACAGGAAAGAGACTCTTGGTGGGTCTGGTGGATGGATCCACAATGAAGGACATTGGGGGACACAAACCATATTCTAAGGCAATAATGAGATTTGGGTATGTGTATGTGAGTGCCAGTGCCTTATTTCATTAAGTTGGATGGGGGGAAGTGGGGAGGACACGTGGAGAGGGGAATGGATCTAAATGCCATCAAACTACATTATATGAAAATTGTAAAAATTCAATTAAAAATTGGCATTATTTGCCTATGCTGATAGAGGGATATGTTTAAAACAAGCCACTGTGTGTATCAGATAGTTCCAAACAGAAAAAACAGGCCCAACTCGGCCATGCTGCAGCTTTGACTTGGGATTTCCAGTGACACCAAGTCCCTGCATGCCTCGCTAAAGCTCTTTGACAGGTTTCGACTTTGAATAGCTCCAAGTAGACTGGTCACTGCTGAACTACCCTCTTCACTGAATATTATGGAAATTTTACAGGTGAAAGTGATGCTGCCCCAACTGCCATGGGCTCCATTGGCTCTCTTCCATTTCAGCAGAATTTGAGAGGATTGCTGTGACAGTACTATATTTGCACTTCAACGTCCATTTGTTTCCCACAGAACGCCACAGATTTTATGATCTCTCTCTCTCTCTCTCTGTCTCAATCTCTCTCTGTCTCAGTCTCTCTCTGTCTCAGTCTCTCTCTCTCTCTCTCTCTCTCTCTCTCTCTCTCTCTCTCTCTCTCTCTTTCTCGCTTGTTGGAGATTAAACATAGGGTTTTGCATGCACCAGGCAAGTACTCTATTATAGAAGCCTGAAGTCATTCTTTCATATCTGTTCCCCAACTGGAGATCCTCCTGTCTCGACCTCTCAAGTGCTGGACTGCAGGCAGGTGCCATCACACTGAGGTTATTCAAAGCTTTCATGTAGGTCAGGTTGATGAATCTCCTTAACTAGGCTTTGAGACATAGAGTTCCACAACTTCTACTGCTCTTCATATAAACTGCAATGAACATCTTCATAAATGTAGATTTTCCTTTTTCTAGATTTATTTGATTATTTTTAATTATGTGTATGTGTATGGGTCTGTGTGTGGGTATGTGCATGTGAATGCCAGTGCCTACGGAGGTCAGAGGCTTGGAGGTGGTGTTACAAGCAATTGTGAGCTGCCTGATGTGGGTGCTGGAAACTGAACTCAGGTCCTCTGCAAGAACAGTTCATATTCTTAACCACTGATCCATCTCTCCAGCCCCATGGTTTTCATATTTTTCTTTTAGTGAAGATAGATGATTTATTAAAAGAAAAAAGAACTAAACTACTAACAGACACACATATGTCTTAGTAGCTATTTAGTAAATCAGTTGATCAGATTACTAGTCTATTTTCCATCCTTTGCTTCTTTTCAAATAAAATTTAAGATGCCTTTCTTATGTATTTATTCTTTAATGTTTAAATGAAGTTATGAAAATTTCAGGATGGAACTGTAGGCCAGTTGACCTTCAACTGATAATTGAGGTGCTAAGGATTGAACTAGGGCCTCACACATACTAGACAAGTACTTTTACCACTGAAAAAGGGGTTAAGAGCACATACTGCTCTTGCTGAGGACCGGAGGACCTGAGTTCCAGTTCCAGCACACACATGGAGTGGCTCACAGCTCTGTAACTCCAATTCCTGGTCCCCATGGGCACCTCCACATACACCCCCCTCACAAGGACACATGCATACATATAATTAAAAATAATAAAAACAAATCTTTAGGATATTGCTATCTTGATTTCTTTTTTCTTGAGACAGGATTTTGCTGACTTGCCTAGGCAAGCCTTGCTCTCTGGATCCTCCTGCCTCAGTCTCCTGAATGTTTGGGATTATAGTCCTACACCACCACGCCTAGCTCTTTTGATGCTTTGGAATATATACTTTATTCCTGCTGCTAATATTAGTGCCTATATTCTTCTAATATCTGCTTCTACTGTCCATATAAATATGCAAAAACAAAAACCACCCCAAAACAATAATAAAACCCTGGTTGCAGGACAGGAGTGGAGAGTGATCAGGAACTTTCTTCTCATCAACATACATTTGCTTCAACTTCGATTTTCAAAAGACCATAAAAAACCCCAAACCATATAGAACTCTGGCAAGGCACTACCCCATCTAGAACATTCTACTGGGTCTGTTATCAGTCAATCCCTCCTTATTCTCTGAACCTTTGTTTCTTCCAAGTTAAAAGAGGGGAGGGGAAGGTAAAAGATTGCAATTGTTCACAACCTTTTCAAATTTTAAATATATTTTAAAGAAGATCCTCTTAGCAAGTTATTTTATTTTATTTTTAGTTTTTGTGAGACAGGGTTTCACACTGTAGCCCAGGCTGACCTCAAACTCATACCAATCATCCTGTCTCAGTCTCCTTAGTGCTAGAATTGCAGGCATGAATTATTTCTGGCTCCAGGAAGTTATTTGACTTATTTATTTATTATTTTATGTTTTGCCTGCATGTATATAAGTATACCATATGCATGCAGTACCCACAGAAACCAGAAGAGGGTGTTGAACTGAACTGAACTGGAGTTATTACAGATGGTTGTTAGCTGCCATGTGGGTGCTGGGAATTGAACCAGGTCCTCTCCAAGAGCAACCAGTGTTCTTAATTGCTGAGCCATCTCTCCAGCCTCAAGAAGTTATTGTAAAAGTAAGGTTATATCTTCCAAACTCAAGCACTGAATTGCTGTGACTCCAGATGTACAGTACCTGGAATTCCATTTAGGGATAACTGGGATAAGCATTGATTACATCTGCCATTGTAAAATACATCTATGTGGAGGCAAGATGGTGGGCACAGATGATTATAACTGCAAAGTAGAGCTCACTTTAACATCTGATGGCAGGACAGTAGTGTGTCACCCTTCTGTGGACATTCCATACAAACACACGAAACCTATCCCTTGACCAGATCCTTGGCATAATAATGAAGAAACACATGATCAAGTGCTGAAGACCAGATTAGAAGAAAAGAGTGAACGCCTTGAGTAAGGACCCATGATAGAACAGCTCAGCAAAATGTTCTTCACCACAAAGCCCCGCTGGTACCCTCATGGACAGTATCACAGACGTTGTAAGAAACCAAACCCTCCAAAACACAGATGATGGTACTGAGATTCTTGGGAGAATCAAAGTGTTGACCTGTGTCTCATTTGCCAATTGAGAAAATGCAGCCTGGTGTGTTTGCTAAGATGTTATATAGTAAAATAATAATAAAAATGTCTTTTTATATGTTAAAAAAATACATCTATGTTGGCAACCAGCCTCAGCTATGGATTTAATAAGCTGGCATGGCAGGAGACCAGTCTCTCTCTCTCTCTCTCTCTTCTTCCATAAGCATTTTCTGTGGAGGCCCCTAAGTAAGAGCAAGGGAGGCAAGAGGAAGGCAGAAGTCCTGCTGGGACAGTGACTGTGATGCTGAAGCTGCAGTCTGCTCTTCTCCAGACCAGCATTCTGAGATGCAAGCACCCTGGACCCCAGTGACGCCTCCAGGCACACACCTGAAAAACCGGGGCTGGTGCTCCATGTTATTTTCTTCTAGCACCCTCCGCCTCTCCCTCTGCAGCTGCTCGATCCTTTGCTTCTGCATCTCAGCCTCTTCTATGTTCCCTTCTTCTAGAAACCTGAGGCACGGGGGGAGGACAGTTGAGAGATATTAACTGAAAAAAAAATAACGATCAACTACTAAACTACTATTTGAGGCAGAGATGGAAGATACTGTTCTGTGATATTTACATGGTTCAAAAACTGTATGCAAAGGCATTTGGGTCAAAGTTGCCCTTACTTGTCTCCGATTCCCCCTATTTTTCCCCATTCTACCTCCCTCAGCCCTTCATGCAACTTCCCACTGTTAGTTTCTTGGGTACCCCATTAACGTCCTTTCCAAACATAAATGTGTATTCTTATATATCCCTCAATTTTAAAAGCATAAATGGTGGCGCATTCCACACATTATCTCTAGATCTTGATTTATTGCTTTGTTTTACTTTATTTTTTACTTAACATATTCTAGGTCTTTTCACAGTAGTACCAAAAAATCTTCTTTTTTTTTGTCTTTTTGACAAAATGAGCTGACCTGAACTCATTATGTGGACCTGGCTTTGAACTCACAAAGATCCACCTGCCTCTGCCTCCCAAGTGCTGGGACTAAAGGCGTGCACCACCACGCCTGGCCCCTAATGTTTTTTTTTTTCTTTTCGGTCTTTTTGAGACAGGGTCTCCCTGTAGCCCCAGCTGTCCTGGAACTCACTATGTAGACCAGGCTGGCTTTCAACTCACAGAGATCCTCCTGCCTCTGCCTCCCAAGTGCTGGAATTAAAGGCATGCACCACCACGCCCTGGCCCCTAATGTTTTTTACTAAAATATTTTATTTATTATTTTTATTTTAGGTATATGAGAGTATTTCCTGCATGTATATAAGTGCATCTGTGTTGTGCAATGCCCATAAAGGTCAGAAGAAGGTGTCATATCCCCTGGAACTGGAGTTACAACAGTTCTTAGCTGCCATGTGGGTGCTGGGAACCCAATCCCAGGCCTCTGCAAGAACAGTCCATGCTCTTAACTGCTGAGCCATCTCTCCAGCCCTAATGTTTTTAGTGTTACATTTTAAGGATGCAGTGCAGTGAATGGTAACTATCATTTTATACATGGGAGAGTGTAGGAGAAACTTCTGGACATAGAATTGCTGGGCTAAAGAGTGAGTCTGTAAATTGATGTATTATACTACTACACGTTCGGGGGATTGCAGCAATTTATATTTCCATCCGCATGTTACAAGTCTCCTTTTCTCCCACTGCTTTAAAATCTTCATCAGTCTCACAAGGAAATGATATTCCGTTGGTTTTAAAGAGCATTCTCCATACTGTGAGGCTGAATTCTCCTCCTATGCTCACACCAACACATCCTACCTGAGAGCTGTTAATTCTACGTTCATTTCTAAAGGGTGATCTATTACTTGATTTCTAGATCTAATCGATGTTGTAAGTTGTAAATACACATGTTTATTATTTTATTTTTGACTTTGGTTATATACTTTTATTTACCTTGTTATTAAAAACGTTTTTTCTTATTATTTCTTATTACTGTGTACAGTAAAATTCTTCTAAATAAATCCCCTCTCCCCTTTTTTGGTATTTCAGTAAAAATGGGACTCTACTGATACTAAATACCATACTGCCCAAGGAGGGAAATGGGCTCCATTTCCTTTGAGACAGGACTGTTTGGAGTCCCACTTCATCCCTGCACTTCTCATGACATTATCCATTCCTCCTGGGCTCCTGGAGACCCAGGAATTGTGAAAAACACTTTTTGTAGATTTTTTAAAAAATGTCTTTGGAAAGAGAGATCTTGTAAAAATTCTTACCTCTGATCTGGTCTAAATCGCGTGTCGGTGGGTGGCAATAAAGACTTGGATGACGGATCCATTTCATTTAACGCTAATGCAAACTGTGTGAAGCCGTAGTACTGCTCATAGCCTTTCGGCATGGGATCTGAAAGAGAAAGACTCCATCTCTGACTTACGATTCATTCATGCTAGTTTAACTCCTTCACCTTATTATCGGACCGGTGACATTTTTTTTAATCTTCCAAGTCTGAACTGTGTCATTTCTATTAAAATATTCTGACTACCAAAGAGCTGCCGAATGTTTCTCTACAGATTTTCTTCTGAGAGTCTCGTCTATTTCAAGGAGATGGACCCCTTGGTTTGGTCTTTTAGTGATTTTATATGACACTGTGAAGCATCTGTACTGTTTGCGCTATAAAGTATCTTGCTATTAAACATGCTGGGGGCTCTGTGAGATGTTGAGTTCCATCCTTGGAACCCACATGGTAGGAGAGAGCGAACTCTACAAAGCTGTCCTCTGACTTCACACATACGCTGCCGCACTCTCCCAGCCCAGCATGATAATGAACATGTTTTCCTAATCACAAAAACTCTCGTACTAGAGTATCCATTTTTCTTGTGGTGGTATCAAACTCTGTCTAGAGTTTAAAATGGTGCTGAACTAGAGGGTGGTCAGTAAATGTTATTTTCTTCCGTTCCTGCCTCTCTTTACCAAATCTTATCCCCTAAAATCTTACATCTTAAGGTTAGAACATTAAGTTCTAAATTTTTCCTAACTTGAATTTCAGCTAAAAGAATCAACTAAACTCACCCAGGTTTATACACTAGGTAAATCCAACGTGGACCAGTAAAATTTGCTCATAATCTCCCTGGCTAGCCACACCTCCACATATAAATTCCCTCCAAGAATTTTGCTGCAGACCCACTTTTCGAAGCTTTTCAAGTCTTCCTTAATCCAATTCTCTGTGTAAATCATCCTAAACTTGAACGCAGGCGCCAAGGTCCATGCTGTGCTTCCCCACAACCCCCGCAGACCACGCCCACTAGAGTAAGGATGGTAGTTTCTTTCAACATGGGCTAGGGAGGCTCACGTTCAGTGTGAAGACAAAATCAAGGAAGAATTGTAAGGTCGTACACTCTTCTTTCAACATCCAGAGAGGGTACTGGCTCTCATCTGTGTGACGTGCTTTAAGCGAAGGAGAGAGACTGTCCCATTTGAAGTCTCATGCATGCCTCTGAAGCTAGAAAGGCGACCTCTGGGCCATCATTCCAGCTTCATGGCACCTTTTCAGTGGAAGATGTGGAGGTGGCCCACTCAAAGAGACATTGCTGGCTGCCGGCTCTATAGCCAAGTCTCTCCCTATGGGAACACAAGTGCCTCTCAGATGGCACTGTGGCCTCCTCCGGGAATGAGCTCAAGTTCAGGTGAATCTCTCCTTCCTTCCCTATTGTCCATGACTAGTACAGGGACAGGTTGGGACCCAGTGAAGGCTGAAGTGCTGTAAAGACACACTGGTTGGGAATCCTGGGAAATACTGCATTCTTGAGAAAAGGGAGGGGCAAGATCAGAAACTCTTTAGTTATACCACCCTGACTGGTGTGTACTCATGAGGTGACATAATACTGAGTTGTGGCAATCATTTACATGCATGTGAGGAAATACGTGGCACACTGGGGTGGCATAATGTTTCCTCATGGATCTATGTCTTTCACATGTAGGCTGAGGAGGTAACAATGTGGGGCCATCACCTTCACTGATTATTAAGTCATGGCACATAGCCTCAGGGCTTAAGCCACTAACAGAGCGGTTTGCCTTTCCTTTCCTCTTTCTTTTCTTTCCCTTTCTTTTTTAACCCACCCAACATCCTTGAATCCCTTATCTCAGGGCAACGGTCTTATAAAAGGATGATTTGGAAACCCCTGTTTTACAGACTGGAATGTAGGTGAAGGCCTTAAATGGCTGCTGAGGAGGGCTGGTTTCCCCAGTGCTTTTTGGTTTCAGGACCATTTCCTTCTGGAATTACAAGGGAGATCAGGGTGGCTTGCGGGGTTGTGCCAATCTGGGGATCCCACACTCTTTGGGAACTCTGCTTTTCTAGTAACACTTTTCTCCAATCTTTACTCTAGAACTATGTCATACATTTCACTGAAATTCCTTCATCAGGGCCTGCTGTAGTCCTGTGTGAACCCCAAGAATCCCTGAAGCCACCCTTGGTTGGCAATGGCTCCCCCTTCTAGGGTTCCAAGAACCCAGAAACTAGCAGCTAAACTGAGATGCTTCTGTAAGTATGACAAGGACTTGAGAGACAGTCAGAGATGGGTAGAGAGGCCGGGACCGCTGACCTGGTTCAAGCAGGTAGTGGACAGAGACCCAAAGCAAAGCTGACCCCTCCCAGCTCCCCTGCCCTGCCCCACCCACCTGCTCTTCCTCTGGGTCTGGTAGATACTCACTTGCTCTCCAGACGCATGTAGAGGAGGAGGCCCCTCCACAGTAGATGCTTTCATGCCACTTTCCAAACAGCCGGTGCACAGCCTTCCCATTCCGGTCGAATACCGTGCCTTCAATCTCATGGGCATTGGTGCTCCAGTATTTTGCCTAGGATGCAGATGATGTCTGGGTAGTACCTTGGCAGTAATTTATTTCAAGTATTGAGCAAAGAAAAAAAAAGCAAGAGAAAGAACCAAGGCCAGGTGCAGTGGTGATCTTCTGTAATGAAGGTAGGAGGATTAGGAGTTCAAGGTCGTCCTTAGCTACCTTCCACTGTGTTCAAGAATGCCAGAGAGTACATGTGGAGGTCAGAGGACAACTTTTAGGAGTCAGTTCTCTTCTTCCACCATGTGGATCCTGGGAATCAAACTCAGGTCATCAGGTTGGGTGGACAGTGCCTGTACTTGCTGACTCTGGCTTATTTCAGTTTGCATAATATCTACTATGTTCATATATATGTATTATATGTTTTGAGACAGGATATTGCCATATAGCCATGGTTAGGCTGCAACGGCTTATGTAGCATAGGCTGTCCTTGAACTCATGGTGATCCTCCTACTTCAGCCTCCCAGTGTGCCTCCATGCCAGGATCCCCAGTAGCCTACTGCTTTCATCCTCTTGAGCTGAGTTCCCTATGTGTTTTGTACATTAACACCTATCCGATAGTCAGCATTTCCTCCTGTTCCACAGGCTGTCTCTTTACTCTGCTGTCTCCTTGGCTGTGCAGAAGCTTTCTAGTTGGCACAATCCTGTTTGTCTACTTTTGCTTTGGGGTCTCATCAGAAGGGAGAAAAATTATTGCCCAGACCAAAGTCATAGAGCTTTTCTATCATTTCTTGGAGGAGTTTTACATTCAGGTCTGACGTTTAAGTCTTTAATCCATTTTGAGTTTTGTAGCAAAAGTTGAAATTCACTCTTTTGCATGTGGGTATTTGGTTTCCCAACACTCTTTATTAATGAGATGGTCTTTTCTCTCTGGTGTTATTGATAGTTTTCTTGAAATCAATTAAGTGTAAATGTGAATTTATTTCTGGGCACTCTACTGCGCTCCTGTTAGTTTATGTATCTGTATTTATGCCTACCTAGGTTCTGGCCTTAAAAATATATCTTTAGGGGCTGGAGATATGGCTCAGTGGTGAAGAGCAATGGCTGCCCTTGCAGAGGACCCCAGTTCAGTTCCCAGCACTGCATGGTGGCTCACAACCATCTGTAACTCCAATGCTCTTTTTTGGCCTTTGCAGGCACTGCATGCATGGGTGCACTTACATACATGCAGGCAAAACACTCATACACATAAAATAAAATAAAATAAAAAATAAATTTAAAAACATATCTTTAGCTATTTAATAAAATTATGGTGAACTATTATATTTGTAGTTTGTAACTTGACAATTGACATTCGTGTAAGATTTGTTTTCTACTTCTGTTACATGCAGTGTAGGAATACAAGGTTCAGTTCCCTTCAGCAAGCAGTGTGGGTAGTCTGTGGGCAGCTGTTCCATGGATGCCACTGTGACTCTTATGCATGGTAGCTCTCACTACAACTTTAAAAATTAACTCACAATTCCTTTTATCTGCAGGAACTATTCAGTTGCAAAGCAGTAACTGTGGCTGCTTAAAATTTCAGTTTCTTTTATTATTTTTCCCCAAACTGTTCATACAGCCCCAGGAACCTTACACAAGCCCCTTTCTTAGTGCAGTTTTGCTTGATCCTTCCAGATCAAGGTAGCTTAGCAACAGTCTTGTTTACACAGTACCACTATGCAGCCAGCAGAGGGAGCCCCCAACTCCCTAGCCGAGTTTTCAAACGTCCCAGCTACCTGGCTGCCCTTAATCTTTATGAGGGGCCGGGCGACGGGGCGCATGCCTTTAATTCCAGCACTCAGGAGGCAGAGGCAGGCGGATCTCTGTGAGCTGAAGGCCAGCCTGGTCTACATAGTGAGTTCCAGGACAGCTGGGGCTACAGGGAGACCCTCTCTCAAAAAGACCAAAAAAAAAAAAAAAAATCTTTATGAGGAACAGAAGGCTTTTCTCCATAAATCAAAAATCCTAGCACTATTTTCAGCTGAAACAGAAGCCATATTTGGAAAGCAGTAAAGTTGAGTGGCATTTTGAGGTCGTTTTCTGGTACTTCAGCTTCTCCCCTTCAAGGCTTTGGTAAAATGCAAAGGTAGGGACAGACACAGCAGCTCCTCAGAGGTCAACGAGGTTCCAGCCATATAAAAATGGGAGGGGAAAATAGGAGTCTAGACTTGTAGGTTTATTGAGAAACAGGAGTCAGATTTTCCCCCAGAGATATTTGTCAATGAATTGAATCCTGACAGCCAGATGGGAAGCCACAGAAGGTTCAGCCTCATCCCACAGGTGATGACATCTACTTTCAACACCAAAGACAAATCTAATGCTTGTATTGGATAACTACAATAGTAGTATCCAAACGAATGCATCTTTTCTCTAAATCCAGGCATGGTGGTGCACACGGGTAATCCTAGTACCCCAGAGGCTAAAGCAGTCTGAGGCCAGTCTGGGATCAAATAAGCAAAGCCTGGTCCTGTGGATAAGAATAAGGTGGATGGAGTGAATGCATTGCTCTGAGGAGACGCTGAGAGATGGTCTTCACCTGGATTGGGGAGACACATTCCTGCTCCACGACACCTTTTGCTTCTTTCTGAAGAACACTTAGCAAAGCTTTCAAGGCGGGCCCATTTTGTTTTCTCTCCAAAATAAAGTCATTGCTCATGCTGTGTCTGTTTACAGCACTATTTGACTTATAAATTATAATAAAGACTGATCAACCTACTGAGTATCGCCCGCAGATTACAGGCAGTGCAGAAAAGGACTACATGACATTCCCTAATTGGAACCTATCACTAAGCTCATGATTTTTATTTTAATCAAATGCAAATATTTCTTGACAAAGGTTATGCTTTAAAGCCACTTCAAGGACATGAGATTTTTTTAAAGGCAACAAGATTCTAGGAGGGAGAGAAAGGGGTGTGTGTGTGTGTGTGTGTGTGTGTGTGTGTGTGTATGTGTGTGTGTGTGTGTGTGTGTGAAGACTCAAATAGAGAAAGTTGGAGAGACCTTATATGTTTTCTTGCATCTGGCCAACCTTTCGATTTCTCTCTAGATATTCTGAGCCTTTGTTGTGGGAGCCAGGCATCATTCAGGGCAACAGGAGTGAGCAAGATAGACCAGGCTTTTCCTCTTGTGAATCGAGGGATGGCCAGGAGGGCATGGAGAGAAGAGAAATCGATAAAGAAATGAGTAGCAAGCTAATTTCAGGGGCAACAAAACTTGGAAGAAAATGAACTATCAAAGAGAGTGAGAGGCAGGTTGAGGTGGTGATGTAAGGAGCTGGGAGAGTAGCACAGGAAGTAAGAGAGGAGAGAAAGAAGGTCAGCGTGGTCAGAGGCTCTGGAGGAAGATGGGACCAGAGCATGGTAGGAGCTGAGCCTGCAGAGGAAGGAGTGTGGTGTGTATGTGTGAGTGTGGGCTGTGCATGTATATGCATTGAGGGGTGGGAGTGGGCAGTCCAACCGTGCAGGGCCCTTGGGCCATTGAGGGGATGGCAGGTTTCTAGTATGGGAAAGACAGGAACTGTTGGAGGATTTTCTTCAGAGAAATAGGTTGTCATGTCTTTTCTTGTGATAAACATACAAGCATCCCTCCCCCACCACCCCACTGCTGTTTCTTTCTTTGGAAACAGAGTCTCATTATATAGCCTACATTGGGCTCAAAAATCATAATTCTTCTGCCTCAGCCTCTTGAATGCTGGAATTACAGGTGTGTGGTACCAAGCCAGGCTTCATTTGAACTATTTTAAAATACTGAATTCAATAATATTAAAGTACATTTACAACATTGTACAACCATCACTACTATCTATTTCCTGAACTTTTTCATCCTCCAAAACACAAACTCCACAACCCTCTGTCCTCCAGCTCCTGACAACCCCACTCTGTTTTCTTTCTCTATGAACTTGACTCCTCTAGGGATTTGTATAATTGGAATTTTGCAGAATATGTCCTTTCATGTCTGGCCTATCCACTTAGCATACTGTCTTCATGTATCCATTTCCTGGTCTGGTGACATGTTTTTAAAAAGCCACCCTAGTTTTTCCCTGAGGGCAGATGGTAGGGGAATAAAGGTGGGGAGGGAGGCAGGAGGGGCCATGGTCCTAGTCCAGGTGACAAAGGTGGAAGACAGCCTGTGCCCTGAGAACCCAGCTCTGCCTCAGCCCTCCAGCATCAGAGCTGGGTGTACCACTCAAGTTACCTTTATGAAGTTCACTTTGCAGTGACAGGAGTCATCAGTCAGGTTCTTGATGACAATCTCTCCATAGTGCTCAATCCACCTCTGCCCGCTTAAGATGTTGTGGATGCAAGAGGTCACTTTGTTCCACTCAAAGTGATCTCCAAAACTGAGAGGGAGGAAAGAGTCAAAGCATGATTCACAGAAAAGCCAGTCCCCGAGGCAGCAAACATTTTTACTTTATAAAACAAGTCATGGAATGACTCACTCATCCCTTCATCCACAGACCCCAGGATACCAAATAAGACTCTAGCAGTCTCTGGAGCTGCAGATCTCTGAGGAAGCATTCGAATTACAAAAGGCCACAGCAGTCATTCTCCTGTTCTCCCAAAGGCACTGGGGGTTTCACTAGAAGCTGGTGGCCTGGTCCTCTTCCACAAAGGGGGCAGAGTCTCAGGGGACGTGTCTGTGTCTGAAGCTGCCCAGCTATGGAAGGGAAGCAGGCAGGAGGATGCAATGGTGTGTGTGGTGGTGGTAGGGTTTCACACACCAATTCCATATTATTTATATCTTTTTCTATGAGAAAATACTCAAGTATTTCTAATGGGGTTAATAACAAGGATTAGGAAATAGTAGTAGGGGCAAACACAGGCACAGGCTATGTGTTAAGTAGTATTTTAAGTGCTTATCCATCTCTGTCTAGTCTTCCCAGCTGCCCTATGAAGTAGGTAAGGACAGTGGTGACACGAACAGCATGCCAACCTGACCAACAGTTACAGGTGCAAGGGGCAGGGCAGCGTGCAGATCCCAGCAGACTGCTCTAGGGTCCAGCTCATGATCTTTTCCTCTAATAAATACATGTCTATAATGCTTGTCTGTCTCAGAGGGAATTCTAGTGGTGAGGCTGGTCTACAGTGGTAACTCAAAATGATACTTCATCTTGTTGAAAGCAGAAGTGAGTTTTTAAAAAGTTTCTACTCTGAGAACTGTTGTCTACAGGAGTCATTTCTACTGAAGGAAAGAAACCAGGAGACTGTGAGCCTGCCCGGACAAGGCAAGTAAACGCAGTGTGAGACCGAGTGAAAGAGGAAAGCACACGCTCCGAGCCAGGGGGACGGTGGACATCCTGCCCCCAAAGTGAGCTCTTAGTCTGAATTCTGTGCTGTTCCTAACCATGAAAGCACTTACGCTGGCAGAGTCACGTGGGTTGTGCCGATTGGGACAATTTCCATGGATTTTCCCCAGAATTTGTTTTTCCATCTCACATCTGAAATGAAACATCAGTAATTACCCATTTAGTAAGACAGATCAGAGGTCTTAGGCTAGATAAATGACCACCCATTCTGTAACTGTCATAATCAAATTAATTCTTAGACAGAATTTTTTTTGCACTAGAAATACCAACTGGGTACTCAAAACAGAATCCAGGAAACCAAAATTGTAAGGCAAAGCCCTTCTGCAAGTTAACAGAAGGAAAGGCACATAGAGGTGAAAATGAGTGGTGGCCGCCCAGGGACAAGCTGTTTCTGTGGCTGCACAGTGAGATGGGAGTTAGAATGGCTGTTTGAGGCGGGTATCAAAGGATGCTTGTTGGAAAGGGCCATTTAAACAAGGCTTTGAGGAACACAAAGGAGTTTACCAGGCAGAGGAAAAGCCATGTAAGGCTGAAAAATAGATTATTTACAGAGGCAGAGGTGTAAGAGAATAGAACGTGGTTCTATCCTGTAGGTCTGAGATCATCTATGGAGAAAAGTAGAAAGACTGAGAAAAATAGTGGTTTCTAGAAGCCTGGCTAAACAGTCATGTTTGTGCTGAAAATAAACAGAGGATTGCCGCGATTGTGTGGAAACCCTGCAAACAATTCAACACAATGCAGAGAAGGGACACGAGGAGGAGGGTGAGCAGCTGCTGTGGACACTCAGGGGATACACAGAGATGAAGCGAACCAAGCCAGCAGTTGTAGGGTGCAGTGGGCCCACAAATAAAGAATCAGGAAGGGACAGAATGAAGTCACAAATGAGATAGAAATTGAGAAAGGAGGGAATATTGCAAATGATGTCGGATTTTACTGACTTGCATGAATGGTGGTACCAAGAGAGAAGAGGGAACAGAATGACCACAGTCATGAAGTCCCACCTGCTTGTTACACTGAAGACAGAGGAACTGTAGGGAAAAGGAAAGAAGCAAGCGCGCTAGGGGAGGCCATGGCCGTGGTCCAGGGAAGGGGGGGTGCTGCTTCTGTTCATGAAATACTGAAAATAGGCAGCTTTGAAATAACCGGTGGGCGTATTTGCTAAGTGGCTGGTTTTGGGGTGGTGAAAATAACAAAACTGTATACTTTAAGTAGGTGAAGAGTATAGCATGTGAAAATTTCTCAGTAAAATTGGCACTAAAACTGAAAAGCGAGAGAACTGACTTATGAGCAAAAATAACAATGTATTGCTGAATTTATAACGGACATAAGTAAAACATGTAAACTAGCACCAAGATTGAGTGTATTTTGCTGGGTTTCTTACTACTTGTAAACTGTATATAATTATGTTAGTTGGTAACAGGCTGTAATATCTTAAAGATACATAATATGAATCTTAAAGTAACAACGAAGACAAAGCAAAGAGATCTAGATAACAAGCCAACAGAGGAGATAAAAGAGATTACAGAAAGCATTCAATTAATTCAAAAGAAGGCAGACAAAGAGAAAAGGGGGGGGTGGCCAAGGAATATATATGACTCACAGAAAACAAATAACAAGAGGGCACACTTAAATGAATTACATTAGTAATTATAATAAATGTAAATGGGCTACCCAACTTAGTTAAAAGACAGAGACATGTGAGATTAGATGAGGAAGATTTGTGGGTCCTGCACCTGGGAAACAGGTGGAATTGCCAGGAAAGGAAGAGAAGGAAAGAGTGTAACATGGGATTGTCTGTGGACTATTTTGAGAAGGCCCTCCCACTGAAAAAAATTCAGAGCTTTACAAAAGCAAAGAAACAGCACCATAAGATCAATGAAATTTAGCAGATAGGATGTTCAGAACCTATGAATAAGATCCTCAGAGGGTTTTGGTGAAAGGTAGAGAAATTTCAGGTGAAGCTTCAGTGTTTAATTATAATAATTAATTGCAAAGATTAATGAAAGGAAACTTTTTATTTGTTTATTTTTCAGAGCTGAGGACCGAACCCAGGGCCTTGTGCTTCCTAGGCAAGCGCTCTACCACTGAGCTAAATCCCCAACCCCAAAACTTTTACTTTTAAAAAATTTTTTATTTATTGTTTTTATTTTATGTGTATGTGTGTACTGCCTGCATTGTAGCCAAGTGCACCTGTGTCGTGCAATGCCTGTGGAGGTCAGAAGAGGCTGTCGAATCCCTCGGGACTGGAATTAGGGACAGTTGTTAGCTGCCATGTGGGTGCTGGGATGTGAACCCAGGTCTTCTGCAAGAACAACCAGTGTTCTTAACCGCCGAGCCATCTCTCTAGCCCCGACACTTTCTACTTTTAACTTTAAACTGGTAATACTACCTCCAGAGGAAGTGGGGACTGGAGCAGGGATGTGGAGAGGTGTTACAGTATACTCTTGTACTTTTTCACAAATATAAAGACATTTTTACAAATCAAATAACAGTAAAGAAAAATGTTTTTTAAAACTGGTAAGGAGCCGGGGATGTAGCTCAGTTGGTAATGTGTTTGCCTAGTGTGCATGGGCCCTGAGTGAAATTCCTGGCAGTGTGTAAACCAAGTGTGGTGGTGCATGCTCTTAAGCACAGCACTTGGAGGAGGCGGAGGCAGGAGGATCAGAAATTCAAGATCATCTTGGTATGCACAGCAAGTTTGAGACTCGTTTGGGTTACATGAGAGTCTGTCTCAAAACAAGAACAAAATAAAACAAAACAAACAAAACCCCACAGAATACTGATGTCTGCTCACTGCTTGAAAACCTGGGATGCTCAGTTTCTCTTAACACTGCACTCCAACTTTTTGAATAAATGAAGATGTTAGTAAAATTAACTCATCCAGGAAATACCTGAAGCACTTATTGTTATTGTTTAGAACAACTTGCCATCCCCAAATCTAATTTTTGGGAACAACAATATCAAAGCAATCTTAAAAATGTGAAGAAGGTCCCAGAATGTAGCTCAGTAGTAGACGTGCTTGCGTTTCTCAAGGCTTTGGGTTATGATCTCTAGCATAAGAAGAACAAAGTAAGGCAAAAAGCAAAACAAATCAAAACAAGACAAAAAAAATCACAAACAAAAAACCCCTCTAAACAAGAATAAGAACAAAACAAGAGGCAGGTAAATTGGCCTCTGGGACCTACATGGTGGAAGGAGAAGACTAAGTCCTGCAAATTGTCCTCTGACTTCCACGTGCATGCCATGGCAGACACAAAGACACATAGACACACACACAGACACAGACATACAGACACACACACAGACGAGAGAGAGAGAGAGAGAGAGAGAGAGAGAGAGAGAGAGAGAGAGAATAAGGATAATAAAGACCAGTATGCTTTTTAAAATCTATGTTTTAAAAATCCATATATAAAACAAGGCTGAAAAGAAGTCAGCAATGTTAAATGTGATTTTGGAAGCAAAATTCAGACTTTTAAAAAGCAAAAAGCCCACTTGCTGTTTACACTCTGATAAACAGCTGGAAATATCTAATGTCTCTTGCAATGAGTGAGGAATTTCAAGCGGTTGCAGAATAAGATAGAGAAAACTTACAAGAATAAATAGCAGTGACCAGATAAAGATTGAGGATGTTTTTGAAAAGAAGAAAAAAAAACGATTTACTAAATTCTTAATATCAGTGACTAAATAAACACTGGTAATGTCAACTATCAATTACTGCTCAGAGACAAGAGGCTAGCTAAGGGGGGGAGCGTGGAGGGACAGACCACAGACCTTCTCTGAACACCGTGTGGGAACCACTTTTGACCTTAGCCAAGCATCAGTGGCCATCCCTGAAGAAAACCATCTCTAATGCTACACTAAATGGAGGTCATATTAGCATATTACCTTGCCAGAAAACAAAGTTTCCAGACTCAGCATGACAGGCGGAGATAGGTGGGTGGTGGCTGACCTGATGGAGACAAAGGATTAATAACAAATGAGTAAACTTTTTGTGTCCTGATAGCCATTCCTTTCCCCTTGAGCTGAGATGTAACAAAGGCAGGATGTTAGCTGAACTTCTGAAATTTCCTTGAACAAGTCTGTCCTCAAGAGGGTGCTCTTGATACAGCTAGCTCTGGCTAGTCGGGAGAGAAAGAAAATTGTGAATGGAAGACCCAGCCAGCCACAAGTGATGGGGACACAGGCATGTTTTGAAAGGTATAAAAATAAAAACAGGGATGTTCAAGGACTATCTGTTCCCAACCCCGTGTTACATCTTTGAATTTGCAAGTATTTTTTTTTAAAGATCTTAATTTGTGTGTGTGTGTGTGTGTGTGTGTGTGTGTGTGATGTGTGGCAGTGCCCACAGAGGCCAGAAGTGGGCATCAGATTCCTTGCAGCTGTATTTACAAGCAGGTGTGAGCCACTGTGTGGGTTCAGGGAATTATCTATGGTCTTCTGCAAGAGCCATCTCTCTAGCCCCACAAGTATTTTAGCTAAGAAGCCAAAGAGCTAGTATTTTAAATGCCACTTCTAACCAAAACAAAACATTGTTTTTTAATGTTTAAGTCATTAAACATAAGAAATAATTTTAGATTTATTTATTTATTTAGTGTGTACATTATAGGCCTCCATTTATGTGGCGGTCAGAGGACAAATTGCAGGAGTAGGTTCTCTCCTTCCAACCATATAGGTTCTGAGGATTGAACTCAAGTCACCAGGCTTAATGGACAGTGTCCTTACTATCTCAATAGCCCCTAAGATAATTCTTAAATAAAGAATATTGTTTCTGCTAAAAACAAAAGAAAAAAACTAGGCACAGTTATTAAGGGAAGTTTACTGGTTAGCTTAAAATTATGTGTTGAGGTTCTGGAGATGGCTTAGTTGGTAAAAACTATGTTTGGGGGCTGTGGAGATGGCTGCACAAGCATGAGGACCTGCGTGTGCCCCAGAACCATGTGAAAAAGCACCTGGTCATGTGGGCTGACATTTGTAATCCCTGTGCTGGGGAGGTGGAGACAGAGAGCGCTCTGGGGCTTGCTGTCCAGCCAGCTGGGCCAACTTGATAGTACCAGGCCAGTGAGAGATTGCCTCAAAAAAGCAGCAGCAAAATGTGGTGGACGGCACCCACGGTTGTCCTCTGGCCTCGACATATGCAACCACATGCACATGAACCTGCATGCACACACACACACACACACACACACACACACACACATTCACACAAACACACACAATTGTATTTACCTACTGTCAACATAAAAAAAAATCTTGAAGGAACAAATAAGTAATTACATCCTAGAAGAAAGAATCCTCTGTAACCAAGACACCATTCGGGAAGCATCACAACTTGTTTTATTCATCAGCTAAGAAGCTAAATAGAAGATGGCTGCTGTGTTCCATGTCCTCTGTCTCAGTAACACCCAGGATCAAGTACTTTACCTCAAATCAGTACTAGTGAAAAGCCACAGTCATGTTGGCAGTGTGCTTCCAGAACTTTCTCTGATTTAGATGGCTCTTTCCTTTTTATGACTTCTTTGTTATTTATTTATTTATTTATTTATGTATTATGTTTTACATAAAACATAATGAATGTTTCGCCTGCATGTATGTAAATACACCTGTGTTGTGCAATGCCCATGGAGGCCAGAAGAAGGAGTTTGGATCCCCTGAACTGGAGTTCCAAATGATTTTTAGCCACCATGTGCATACTGGGAAGCAAACTCAGGTCCTCTGGAAGAATAGTCAGTCAGTGCTCTTAACCACTGAACCATCTCTTCAGCTGGATTTAGATGGTTCTTAGCAGAGATATCTTATATTTAGAATATCTAGCCCAAATCCTTTCATTGGTCACATGGAGACTGAAACCAGAGAGATCAAGTAACATTTCCCAAACCACACAGTTAAAGTGTCAGCAGAGTGAAACCCGTATTTGATTTACTCAGTGGTTTACGAAGTTTAAAAAAAAGTGTTAAACAGTTGCACCTTGTTTTCAAATACACCGTATTAACAACTCAGAATACAGAACCCTGCCTGGAATGAGCAGGTGTGGGTGTAAGGGGGCAGGATGAGATGGGGTGATAAGTCCACAGCCCTTGCCTTGCTCTGGGCCCCACTTGTGCTGAGGAACTTGCTTTGCAAACCACTCCTGTAGGTGAGAACTACAGGGAGGCCAGAAGGATCTCAAGGTGTCAAGCCATAGCCACAGCTAACTGATAGACTGCTGCTGAGCCAGAAAGAGAGACAAGACAGAAATAGCATCCTTCATATTACTCAATGAACTCAAATTCTGGCTGCTGTGTGAAGCAGGAACCATAATCACACCGTTGCTTGGTGTGTCTTAGTTCCCTGTGTGATGCAGAAGAATGTGAGGCCCTCAAGTTCCTATGGAGTACTGGAGAGGACTTTTCACTAGCTTGGAGACTGACTCCTATAATGACTGCTTTTCTTTATCACTAGCTTTTAAAGTCCAATCAGTTGGAGCTGTTTCATATCACAAAATGCTGCACTGTCCTCCTTCTTTCTCCCACCTGTCAGCTCTCCAACAGTCTAGAAGACTTTGAAACTGTGGGATCATATAACATAAAACTAGAATGAGACAGTCCCCACTTCACTTACCTGCCTACCTGACATGTCCCACTGTGACGTGGGAAAGGAGCCATGGAATGTTTTCTTAACCCAGAATGTATTATTAAGTAGGTTACAACCATCTCACAGAAACAACTTAGTAATGGGGGAGGGGGCCTTGTGGCCATCTGTCATCAAGAACTTGCTGCCTTTATTGGCATAGCCAAATATAAACATCAAAGCAGAACACAGTATAGAAAAACCGTGCGCCTGCTCTGAATAAATTTAAACCCTATGAAACAGGGAGAAGCATGCTGTCTACAGGAATTGGAAAGGAACGAAGCCCTATGATATCACAAAGTATATACACACCCTATGAAAGGCATATCTGATCTTTTAAAGCCAGTGTAGCAGATCAATAAACTCGTGTTCAGCTAAATGCCTTAATTTTTGGATTTATTTATTTTTATTTCATTTATATAAGTGTGTTTTGCCAGCATATATGGAAGTGCACCACATGCATGGAATGCCTGCAGAGGCCAGAAGAGGGTTCCAGATCCCCTGGAACTGGAGCTACAGACCATTGTTAGCTGCCTCATGGATGCTGGGAACCAAATCCGGGTCCTCTGCAAGAGCAGCCAGTGCTTTTAACCACTGAGTCATCTCTCCAGCTCCTCAACTGCTTTTAGATGGACCCAAAGGATATCTACTTTTTTTATTCCCTGTAGTGCTAGCTGGTCTGGACCTCACTATGTAGACCAGGCTGGCCTCAAAGCCTCAAACTCACACAGATCCCCCTGCCTCTGCCTCCCAAGTGCTGAGATTAAGGGTGTGTACAACCATGCCCAGTGGATGTTTATTTTTTTAAGGTTTTTTTTTTTTTTTTTTTTACATATTATGTGTATGTTTGTGTGTGTACATGTGTGGACGTTGGAGTTGGTTCTCTCCCTCCATCATTTGGGTCCCAGGAATCCAGCTCGAATCGACAAGCTTGGTGGCAGTCACCTTTACTGCCTCATGTCTTTACATTATCTACAAATTAGGAAATGGGCTCTGCCCAGCGCAGAACCTGCCCAGTGCCCCTACAATGAGCAGAATCTGCTCCCAAACCCAGAGTGCTCTATGCACCCAGTGGCCTTTCCAGAGTTACTTCCAAAGGTGGTCCCTGTCCCTCCCGGCTATGGCCTCAGAACACCATTAAGGTGTCGTTTCGATCATTCAGAGAAAGAATCTTTCCAGTCTGACCTTTCTAACCTCCCCATGTCTCATTTATTTCTTTGTAAAGTGAGGTCAGAGGAACTGTTTTGGTTCAAAATGCTGGTGCTAACACCTGCTTTGAGCATCTTCAGATCTGGGCATTGGAGGGTCAGAGGATACTGAGTAATTTTAAATACTGTTCCATGCCTTGAATTCCTTTGAATGTCCACAGAAAGGGGCAATTCAAAGTTGATTACTTAATCTTTGTGCCTGGCAGGCTTTCTGCTGGGATATAAGGAGGGAGCACAGTCTGCGGTGTCTTTGCTAATGTGGAATTGGTTTAGTCTCCATCCTTTTGGGTTTTGAGACAGGGTCTTGCTGGGTAGCCAAGGTTGAACAAACTTGGATCCTCCTGCCTCACACCCCTGAGTTTACTGAGATAACAGGCGTGTACCACCATACCTGGCTAGTCTTGTTACATCTTAACCCAGGCTAAAAAAAAGAAACAGAAAGAAAAGAAAAAAGCAAACAAGCAAAGGGGGCAGGAGAGATGGCTCAGCGGTTAAGAGTACTTACTGCTCTTATAGAGGACCCCAGTTCAGTTACTAGCCCCCTCACTGGGTGGTCACAACCACCTTGTAACTCCAGCTCCAGGGGATCAGATGCCCTCTATGGTTATCATTAACACACACACATACACATACATTTAAGATTTTTTTAAATTTAAAAATTAAAATAACGCCTGTAGTCCCAGCACTTGGGAGGCAGAGGCAGGTGGATCTCTGTGAGTTCAAGGCCAGCCTGGTCTGCATAGTGAGTTTCAGGACAGCTGGGGCTTACAGGGAGACCCTGTCTCAAAAAGACCAAAAAAATTTTAAAAAAAAAGACACCCTTCCCCAAATTAAAATAAAAGCAAATAAAAAGCAAGCAATAGCAGATGCATGGAGTGTGACCTGATCCAACCCCAGGAGACTCTGCCTGCTAGCCTTTTGGGTAAATGCAGTTTAGACTGGTTTTGAGCCTCCAGTCCACCACTTCCTTTGCGGTCAGAGCAATTCCTCACTAACAAAGATTCCCACACTTCAAGAGGTCAGTGAGCTGCTTTTACAATTCAAGTATTTATATGAAAACATAGATAGTCTTTCTATAAATCCCAACACAGTGCCCCTGGTAGCTAAAGTCTCACAATTTATACTTTATTTATATTTATGAGGCTTTTATTACCCTGATTTAATCATGTTTGATTTATGCTTTGCTGTACTTCATGTAAGAGTAAGTGGGCAGAAGAGAAGTAGATGAGAAAAAATATAGTTCAGTATTTAAGCCTTTTGTAATATGTATTTTTTTTTAGAAATACATTACTAATTTACATTCCCAATGTATTAGAAATACATTTCTAACTGATTTCTAGAAATTTATCCCTTAAATATACCACCTATTCCCTGAACCATCTAGAGACTAGCTACACCCCTTCTTCATTCCTGATACCATCCAGTAGTGCAGGGTGACCTATGGAGAAGTGGGTGGAAAATCGCCCAGGGGTGAACCAAGGGGCCATTCTTCCCATGCATTCTTCATTAAACATTGCTGATTGCCTGCCATGTGTGGAGCACTGTTCTAGCTCTGGGAAACAGTGATGACCTATAGAAGCAAGCCCTCACCTTCGATCAGGGACATTACATCTCAGAGTGCAAGTGGTGAGATGGCACCCTCAACAGTGTCAGCAGTGACAAGTGTTACTGGAGGCAGAGCAAGGCGTAAGCATGGGGACACGGGAAGCAGAGATATTTTAGGTGCTGTGTGCGGTGGGACTCTGACTCTGGAAACCTATGTGGCTGGGGGGCAACAGGGAAGCCAGACACTGGAAACTGCTTGGTGCAAACCGGAAGCACAGGCCAGTGTGGCTGTGGCTGACTGAGGTGGGGAAGTAGGAAGAAGGACGGGGTTGGATGGGCCCTGGAGTACTTTGGGAGTAGCTGGGGGCTCTGCATTTTATTCAGTGACTGGAGAAGAATGCTTCAAACAGTCATTCTGGCTGCTGGGTTCTTGAGAAACTGCCCTGGAAATAAGAAATCAGCCAAGTCCAGGGCAATAATGCTAGTCACTGGTTAGGGTGGTTTGAGCCAGGTGGCCAGCACCAGAAGAGGCATAAGCTTCTGAAGGGAGACCCCAGGATGGCGCCCAGGTGAGTGGCTGATTTTGGGAGAACGCACTTGCCAGTTGTATTCTCTCACCTTATGCTCACATCTTACCCCACAGACAAAGATTCTTGCAAAAATAAAACCAAAAACGCATTAAGTGATAGCATGACCTAGAAACCTTGAGAAGCACAGAGCTGAGCCACCTTATGCTTGAGTTGTTGCTGGCTATATTTGAACAGCTTGGGTTTCCCCTCTGATAGTCACTGAAGACAATAAAATGTTAATCAGGAATAGACAACTGGCTACTTATAGGAAAAAGAACTATTCAGAGAAGAGACATGAATGTACTAGGAGAGAGATGACAGGGGAGCTATTTATAAATCTGGTGGAGGATGGATGCTCAGGGTTCTTCAGATGAGCAGCAGAGAAGGAGGAAGCTGTGGGCGTAGAGCAAAGGGGTAAACTCACTTCCCCCGACTTTAACATTTCAGCAGCTTTTTGGTTTTATATCTTAGTAGTTTTTGTTAACTGCATTCTGATTTTCTGGCACAAACTCTCTCCAGCATCTAGCTGGGTAGGAAAATGTTATAATCACGTGCATAACAATTTAGACCTTAAGTCCCATGTAAAGAGGAAAAGTCACTTTCAGACAGGGCACCATGTGCAGCATCCATCCTTCCTCCATTTACAACACTGAACCTTTCTCAAAGGTACAAAACGAGTCACACAGCCGACTAAAGTCACCTTATTGACTCTCCACTCCCTCCAGGTTTCTCAGAGCCTGTGTGTTAATTCAGGCAGGTGATGGGAAGAGGCAGGAGAGTCCCTAAAGGTGGAAGCCCAGAGCCTAAGTGTCGGGAAAGGAAGGGCTTTCTTCCAGGACCCCCTATCTAGCACTCAGGCAGAAGGCCAAGACTGCAGCAGATTTCCTGGAGCAGAGGAAACCCTCAGGAAGATGGTATGGGCAAAGGTTAGAACACAGTTTGTGACCAACTCCTGACTGTTTCTTATACACAAGGGCCACACCCCACCCACAATGGGAGATGAGATTAAAGTCCTTCGAGAGACTGAAGGATGAATGGGTTGTGAATGAAGGTGCCTGGCTCTAGAATGGACTATCTCTTACCCACTCGAAGGTGAGAGTTGTGTCTTTGGATTGACAGGTATATGAGACAATGACACCAAACAGTACCCAAAAAGGCTATTTTCACATCCACAACCAACATCTGGTAGTAAGATGTAACTAAATCTACACAGAGATCCCAAGATAGTGGTAGGGAAAGGACACTGGGAGGAAAAGGAGGGCCTGGGGTTTGGCATCACTGGAGAGCCAGGAAGGCCTCAGTCTCTTCGAGTGTGGCTGACCCTTGCCTGGCCTGCCACACTGGGCAATCTAGAGATTGAATCGGTCACATACTCCTTTAGAGGCAGAAGGCACTATACGCAAAACTACCACTTAACTGTGACAAGGATAATGTGAACAAGTAATGCTTCCTCTGGCTTCTGGCCACACCAGTCACTTTGATAGTGTGTTATCATGTCTTTCAGATGAACAACAATATAGAGAAATACACATGGATGTAGCTGAATTCTGGAAAAGCAGCTACTTCACTTCCTGATACTCACCACCGTGAACATGCACACAACCCAACACCACAGTAACAGCATGCCGAAGCTGGATGGAAAGAGAGACCCACTGCTTTTCAAATGAAAGACTGTTAGCCAGAAAACTCAGTAGAAGAGCTGAGACATTGCTTCCTGGGCCTTCATCTTGGAGATAGATTACCATTCATGTCTTTTTTAGGATAAAATTCCACCAAATTATAAAGTTAAATTAGGGGTCCTATCCGTTCATCACTGTAGTGTTTCAGATGCCTGTATCTAGAGAGGCCTGGGAAAGCACAGAACTGCCTGGTGCTAGCAAAGCAGACAGCAAATCTTATTTTACCTCCTGTGTTTTCATCTCTCCCTTACTATTCCTAATACTCCATACTTAGGGGTGTTTAAAAACTCCCTCTACATAGAAGAACAATAACCATTAGTCATGTAGTCTTTCATGTCAACATTCTCTCACTGAAGCCTTACCATAATTCATGAGCCAAATCCGGTCATTCTTGTTGGACAAAGACACAGCTGAGGCTCTGAGAATTTGAGTCACTTGTACAAGGCTGCATGCAGGGCAAATAAAGGGTCTCCAAATCCTCTACCTCAAACATCCTACGCTGCTGACAATGGCCTTTTTCCTTATTGCCTTTGGATTCAGTTCATGCAACTAAAGACTAAGTTATACAATGCTCTATCTGGGTATATGGGTGCATCTTCCTGGGGTTCTGGTCCTCCTCCTGGAGCCCCCAGCATAACAGATGCAGGTCCTGCCCCTTCAGGGCTCCAAGGATTGATGCTCAAGTTTCTATAGCTCATATTTCTCTGTCCTTATAGCTATTCATCCCAACATGATTGCCTGCTGTAGTTTGGGGCTATTTTGGGTTCTTATTTTTTCACAAGAGTGCGTGGAATACCATGGAAACCAAATTACATTTTCATTTATTCTCATTCCATTTTAGGTTCAGTATTTAAATAACCCAGCTGAATTTGAATGAGACAGATTACCGGATCCCTTAACTACTGATTCAGCTGCTACCTTCTCAATATCAAACAATATTTACTTTCTCGTTTTTAACTAGGAAGCCATTCACAATATGCTTTGAGGTTTTTGCATATTCATTTCCTTCTGAGTTCTATAGAACACTGTTGTTTTGGGTTTTGGTTTTTTGTTTTGTCTTTTTGAAAGAGGGTGTCAATAGGTAGCCCAAACTGGCCTAGAACTCTGTGTAGCCAAGTTGGCCTTGAACTCTCAATCCTCCTGCCTGAGGCCTTTGAAAGCTAGGACTACAGGCATGCATGATTGCACCTACCCTACACCACATTCAGCAGTTTCTTGGAAGCTGAGTGTGGTTGTGCATGCCTGTAATCCTAGTACTTGGGAGGTTGAGGCAGGAAAAGTATGAGTTTGAGGCCAGACTGGCTGTGTAGAAAGATCTTATCTCAAAGAAAAAGAGGAAGGAATGAAGGAAGAGGGCCAGGAGAGGGAGGGGAGGGGCAGAAAAGAGAAGAAAAAATAAAAATCAAGTCTGTTTGGCCACATTGTATCTTCTCTCCAAGGCCCCATAATGCAAATCCACTGATAAAAATAAATTAACAATCCACATTCCCTCTTTATCCTGTTTTCCTAGAGTTTGAAGAAAAATAATGTATCAGAGCAATGATAGCTGATCTCCCAAAAGACGAGAGAGGGTTGTTCTTCATCTCTCTAAAGGTGTGCACTCTATTTCAACTGAACAAGTGCTCCGGTGTCTTTTTTATAACTCATATTCAGGAAGAATCTAAGGGAACCTCAGCCATGTAATTCCAACATGTCCATCCATTATTAGATGAGGACAGAGATTCCTTTCTGTCCCTACAACCTCCCCACTCCATGGCGGGGTTTGAGCTCCTGCAACAGAGCCAGGCACACAATATACTTTAAAAAATAACTTGTTGATTTGAATGAATGAATTCACACAGGAATGATTCTCTTAAATCAAAATCAAGAACTGTCCACTGACATGGTGCTGCCCATTCTAAGGAGCAGCCAGGCTCCAGAATGGTGGTGCTAACACTTCAGGGCATGCTTTCAACCTGTAAGTTACACTTTGGGCTAAGCTTTGTGCCTTGGAAATGTCTTTTGCTAATGACTTTAAGGAGAACAGACACTGCTGGTGTGTGTAACTAGGCAGGGCTCAGAATTACTGACACCTTTGTGCCATGGGTGATGGCTGGATTTCAGTAGAGGGAAAATGGATCTATGGCTTTATGTTTCCAAGCCTTTAATTATCTGTCCTTTGAAGCCAGTGAAAGGGGAGAAATAAATATTTCAGAAGCACATTTAATGGCAGGCACAAATAACTCTTCCCAACAAACACAAGGGGCGAACATCACCTGCTCTGCGAAAAATTCGAAGCCCTTGTCCTCTCGGATGCACTCATATGTTTCTCCAAGGACTGGGTTAAATGGCTTGCTGCCTGCCCGGAAGTAGCTGGATGCATATGCAGAGATGGCAAAGGCTGCCACGTACACCTGTGACCAGAAGGAAAGAACTGGGTTACTTCTGTGTCATCAATAAATTTGTCATAAAGGATCAAAAACCTTGTTTGCTTTCAGAGAGACAAAGATTTGTCTTTGCTTTAAAGACAATTTAACCAACATAGATTTAAAATGGAAGGTTTAAATGATGTTCATTTTGGCCCAGAAACAAATCAACCAAGTGTTTAAACTTCCCATTTATTTTGGTGTCTGAAATGTGAAAGGCATGATTCAACTAAGGTGATCAAATTCATTAAACAAGCACGTCAAAGCTGAGTCCGCAGACAACAGGGTGTCTGAGCGGATGGTGAAAGGGCACAGAGACCAAACTGCCCCCAAATCCAGAAGTGCAGAGATACTGTAGAAACCCCAAAACCAAAACTCATGTTGCCCAAAGAAACTGTAAGTCATTTTCTGACTCTGAGAAGCAACAGGCCACAGTAGCTTTAAAGTTCTACTTTTCTGGGAGGAAAAATGAAACACGAAGGAGAAGGTGGAGGGAGGGAGGGAGGGAGGGAGAAAATGGAATGAGATTAGGAGGAAGAAGAGGACAAAGGTGAGAAGAAACAGCTGGAGTATGAGGAGGAGGAGTCACCTATATCTGTACCTGAAATTAGCAAAGTATTTTCCTGACCCTCAGTGGGAAGACCCCAGCTCCCCTTTCAGAACATCAAAGAAACAGAGTGACTTGCTTTTTCTTCTCAAAGTTACTATCTAAGTAGTAACAGAAAAATTTCCTTTCCAATATTGATCTGTAACAATTTCAACGGTTCTTCCCAGCACAGTCTGTGAAGTTTCTTTCATTTAGAAAGCCAAACACCTTTCACAAATATTCAGTAGATACAACCTTCCTTCCTAGCCTGCTGCAAGGTATTTGGGTGCTGCCTGTCACAGGGCTAACCTTGTCACCTCACACTAAAGATTGCTCTTAATCAGTTAGAAAGCATGTAAGAATTTTGGGGCTCGGAGTATGGCTCAGTGTAATGACCTCTTGTCTAGCAAATGTGAGGCTGTAAGTTGGAGGCCCAGAACCAGGCGCGCGCGCGCGCACACACACACACACACACACACACACACACACACAGAGGCGATTTACTACACTCAGGTCAGTCCTGTTTATGACTATGTTGTGTGTGTGTGTGTGTGTGTGTGTGTACATGCAGGCATGCGCTTGAGCATGTGTGTATGAGCATGCATGTGGAAGTCAGAAGATATTGAGTGTCTTCCTCAGTCATTCCCCATCATATTTTTTGAGACAGGGTCTGCCACTGACCCTGGAGCCCTCTAATTTGATTATCTGTCCAGGATGCTCGAGGGCTCCACTTGTTCCACCACCCTCCAGCACTAAGATGACCACCCTTCCCCCAGCTTTTATGTGGGTTCTGGAGATGGAACCCAGGTCCTCATGCTTGACAGCAGACACTTTACTGATGGAGCCATCTCCCCACCCCCTTTTGTATTCTTGATCTCTTCCTTCCTCTGCCTCCTGGGTTTTTGACCTGCCAAACAGTAAGCTCACACTTTCTATGTCGGATGCCGAACATCCCTGAATCACTTTTAAAACTCAAAATACCCTGGGCATAGTGGTGCACGCCTTTAATCCCAACACTCAGGTGGCAGAGGCAGGCGGATCTCTGTGAGTTCGAGGCCAGCCTGGTGTCCATAGTGATCCAGGACAGCTGGGACTACAGGGAGATCCTGTCTCAAAAAGACAAAAACAAAACAAAACCCTCAAAATACAGGGTTGGAGAGATGGCTCAGTGGTTAAGAGCCTGTGGTGCTCTTGCAGAGGACTCAGTTTTGGTCTTCAGCACCCACAGGGCAACTCATAACTGCCTGTAACTCCAGTTTCAGATCTGACGCCTTCTGGTTTCTGTGGGCTCCTCCACACAGGAGGTGCCTATGTGCTTATGCCCGCTCACACACATCCACTTAAATTTTTTTTTTGTTTGTTTGTTTTTTGTTTTTTAATCATTATTTTTTTATTTTTTTTTTCATACAGAAGAATTCATTTCAAAGCAATTGACATTGAGACGTTTTCGCATGCATTTCTAATCTCTATATACATGACTATCACTGGTCACAGTCACCCACCTTCTGAGCTCCTCGGCATCTGAGCATGAATACAAACTCGTCAG